TTAATAATTTGATTTAATCAAATTTATTGCACTGATTTTAATACTGTTTCTTACGTAAATCGAATACTATTCAAACAAATGATTGATATATTTTTCTAACAAGTCATTTTTTTAATTTTTTTATTAATGTCTTTTACCAGTTTGCCAGAATTCAAACAAGCAATATTAATATTAATTATTAATTAATTAATTGATTTTCAAGTTAATTGCAGTAGTAAAAAAAATATTTTAGTAGTTGATTCTGAGAGAAGGATCGCTAGGATTCGATTTTAGGAAATGATTTATTTGTGGTCAACAAAAAGAAGTAAAACTAATAATTAGGAATTTTTTTTTAAAGTCCACGATATGATAAAAGTAAACTTTTTATCTTTCTGATTTTATCAGTTTTAGGTTCTGAAAACTCTTACACATCTATTAATTAGATTTATCAGTGTACAAAATTAAAAAAAATAATTTTCAAATTGTTTAAAAAAGTTAAAATATATTCTGATAATATTTGTTTTTGTCGAACTACTTCAAAGTTTTTGCATATTATCGCTTAAACAATATGAGAATATAATATATTAATGTATTATTGTTTGTTCATCATAATCAGGTAAAAATAAACAAAATAAATACATGCTCTAACTAAGTATCATTTTGCCAAGGTAAGATGCAAAAACTTTCTGATGTGTGTAAATAATTGTCATAATCGACCAGGATTGAAATTTAGCAACTATTGTGAAAACACAATTTTGAAATTTTTACACAACCTATTATTCCAAACTTTATTTTTATAATTCAACCACTCTTTGTAAGTATCATTGTGAAAAGTTTCTTAAAAAATCATTTTTTCACAAGTTTAGCATCAGGAAAGACATTGATATAGTGGAAAAAACTTATTAAACTATTTTTGTGATTATTTTCTTATTCAATTATAAATATTTTTGGCATAAACGTCTTTTTAGTACATTTTGGTTAATTTTGACCGATGGCCAAAAAGTTATTCTAGATCTAGATCATCACGTACCTAAATAATGTTTGATGTGGGTGAGTATCCTGGAGATTTGGTTGAATTTGCTAGATATAACTTGTTATATTTACATTACTATAGTTATAACTCCTTCAGGACACGAAATTCTTCATCAGCTCCTCATTTTGTTTTGCAGCATCAATAATTCCGCCATCAGACCTGGGAATTTCAAAATAACTGTTAATATAAAATAATTACTAACTAATTACCGTTTTTTCACAATACTGATACTGCATTAAATGTTGAATTACATCAAATATTAAAATTTATAGTACTTTATTAATTTTCGAACATTTCAAAGTGCAGAAATCAAATAATCATCAAATAATCCTAAGATTGCACATTGCCAATAAGTTATTTTTTAACCAAAAACTTTGTTCGAGCAACACAAAAAATTTAATTCAAGTAATAATTAGGAATATAAAGATATCTCTATAGTTTATCATTTTAGATGTTTATGATTTTAACAATTTAGGTTTAGTTAGTAATAATGTATAAAATAATTTCCATATAAATGACAATATAACTTTTTATCAAACTTTGGGTGTGCTCCAGATAGGCTCACAATAAAATATCCACTGTATATAAAATTTGAAAGAACGGTGGTGCACGTTTTTTAGAAAAAAATCTTTTATTCTTGCTCAAAATAATAAATAATTATTTATTGATTATACTTAATAGTACTTAAGAGGAGAAAAATATTTGTGACCAAAAAACGTAAGTACAAATAATAATGGAAATTATTAACTTCCCGTAGGGTAAGTTATTGTAATCGTCCAAAAATAGAAATTGAAAATTTTTGCATTTCTCGACGTTTTGAAGGTTTCTGAACATTTTATTGGCATACCTCAGAAAAAAAAGGATGTTTTTTTTTTTTGTATAGCGAAGGAAATGCTTTTACGCATTCCAGACCGGTGTGTGTATTTTTGCATTTCTCGACGTTTTGAAGGTTTCTGAATATTTTGGCATACCTCAGAATAAAAGGATGTGTGTGTGTATGTATGTATGGATACAATTTTTCGTCCGTGGTTCAAAAAACATTCAATTCCTATTGATAGGGAGATGTGCTGATTAGGTTTTGGCAAAGGTAGGTCCAGCAGTTACGGAGGAAAAGAGCAAAGAATCGATTTCTATTTTTTGCACTCTTCGCTCCGTATCTCCAAAACGGCTGGACCTGCCTTTGCCAAAAACTAATCAGCTCTTTTCCCTATCAATAGGAATCGAACGTTTTTTGAATCATTCAAATCGCTTGATCCGTGTGTCCGAAAACGTAACTGGAAATTTGTATCCATACATACATACACACACACACATCCATTTTTTTCTGAGGTATGCCAAAATATTCAGAAACCAAAACGTCGAGAAATGTAAAAATTTTCAATTTCGATTTTCGGCCCATTACAATAACTTACCCTACGGGAAGTTAATAAATATTATTATTATAAATTAGTTAAAAATGAAGTTCACGTATAATTATCAATTTCTGGATTGTGATATTTATTTAACAATTAGGTTATCTTGAGTATTTTCGCCCTTATTTCAGATAAAAATTTGAGTTGAATATGACTATATAATGAACAAAACTCTTCTAAAAGTGGTAAAAAACAAGACCCTTATGGATTAGCTGCTAAATCAAGCCAAAGAGTCCCAAAAGTCCCAAATACGGCAATTACCACTACGTTACTGAATATTATGATGACATGTATGAAACGTATCAGAAGAAGGACTCATCCGATGCACTGGTATGGGCTTTAATCTTTGTGATTTTTTTGGTGATAGTACTCCTTGGAATCTTGGGTGAGTAGAAAAAGACTATCATTGTCATACTTAGTAAATTCTGAATCCAATTATTTACTTTCGCTGCGCCACTTTTTGCACTGTCCAAAAGTTTTGGTCCGCGTCCATAAAACGTTGTTTCTTTATTTCCAAACCACATTACCACGTCAGGGTAACTAACACTAAAGATATCGACAATTGTATTTTTACTGAAAATAAACTTAAGTTTTGAGTTGGGACCAAAATTTACTTATTCAACGCACTATCTAGTTTATAGGTGGCCGTTACAAAGATAACTCTTATTTTGCAGCATATCTAAGACAACTGCACGTCCCATCATTGAGATTTCGATGTAAGTGGAATTCTGTCTTAAGGCAATTAAGGCATGGTGCCTTAAGGCAAATTGCTGGAACTTCCCGTACCAAAAATTATTATTTTTTCAAAAACGATTAACATTTTTGAAAAAATTTTACTTCGAAAAAATAAGATTTTTGAGAAACTATAAATTGGACAAAAAATTACTTTTTTTGAAAAAAAAGACATATTTTGGAAGATCTGAACTTTTTTTCAAAGCAATCGTATTGCTTTGACTGCATAGAGACAAAATATAAAGTGCGTAACCGCCTCGTAGCTGTCTAACGGAAAAACATTGGTACGGAACCCATAGGAATGTAAACAAACTTTATACTTATTGTTAAAATCTCTATGAAATATCTGATAATTTGATGTGCATATGTCTAATGATCATTTTTGACCGCCAAATGGCATTTTTTACTTTTTTACGAGACCTGCCTTCATGAAAATTTGATCAATTTTTCATCTTGTCAATACAAGTAAAATATTTTTTGAATTATTAAAATCGGACGCTCCGTTCTCTTAAAAACTGAGGTACCGTTTTTGGCACTTTTTGCCTCATATCTTCGGAACGGCTAGACCTGCCTCCGCGAAAAACTAATCAGCACGTTTCCTTATCAATACGAATCGAATGTTTTTTGAATTATTCAAATTGCTTTATCCGTGTTCCCGAAATCGTCGATGAAAATTTGTATCCGAACACACACACATACACGCACATACACACACATATACACGCACACACACATCCATTTTTTCTAAAGTATGCCAAAATATTCAGAAACCTCTGAAACGTAAAAATATATAAAAATTTTCATTTTCGATTTTTTTGCGATTACTATAACTTGCCCTACGGGGAGTTAAAAAGTTTTGGATTCCGTATATCGATTCAACTTGTGTTTATTTATTTTTATTAATTCAACAGGATATTTATACTATAAAAAAAGAAAGAATGAGCGCAAAGTAAACCAAAATAATCAAGAAGTTTGCATGGAAGTACCACTCAAGGACATTGATATTCGCGAAAAATTGGCCAGTGGAAATTTTGGCACCGTGTATCGTGGTCTGTGGGATGGTAAAACAGAAGTGGCCATAAAAAAATTGGACAAAGCAGATGTAAAGTCGATAAATGATTTTAATCAAGAAGCATCGATTATGAAAACTGTATCACATAAACATCTATTGTCATTGTTGGGAACTTGCCAAACCGATGAGGATTTTGTACATAATCACCGAGTACATGAAAAATGGCTCGTTGCTTGGTTACTTGCGCAAAAAGGGTGAACTGTTGAACAAAACCGATTTGTACGAGTTTGCAGAACAGATTGCAGGTGGCATGGTTTATTTGGAAGAACAAAAGTACATCCACCGCGATTTGGCAGCCCGCAATGTCCTAGTTGACAATTTGTTTCGTGCCAAGATCTGCGACTTTGGTCTCACCCGAGCAATTCAGGACGAGATTTACGAATCTAGAAGTCGCGTCTGTGCCCTGAAATGGACAGCTCCCGAGGCTCTGGAATTCCAAAAGTACACGCACAAATCCGATGTTTGGAGTTATGGAATTGTACTCCACGAGATATTTTCTTTGGGCAAAATACCATATCCTGGAATTAATGGGTTGGACATACTTGATAATCTGAGGAATGGACATCGGATGGCAAAACCGGATTTGGCCAGTGTGGAGATCTACGAGTTCATGATGAAGTGTTGGGATTGGGATGTGGGCAGGAGGCCAGAGTTTAGGCAGATTCATGAGTTCATGAAGAAGTTACGTTATATGGAATATATGCGCAGCAAAGAGGAGGATGCGCAAAGACCTGCACTGTATATTATTAATGAATAGAAATCAACGTCATAATTATTGTTATTTTAATACCTCAAGCTTAATTTAAACTATATTTATAACCAATTGTATGCGCTTCATTGAAGCAAAGATATAACTAATTGCTTCTCGACTTGTCCACTACTATTTGAATCATATGCATCAAATTAGGATAAGGATGGAAAAAACAGGAAAAAGTGAAGCATTATTGAAACGAGTTTTATAGATTTTATAGTTATTGATAATGATTTATCTATTGTGATTTCTTGCACTTTAACCAGATGAATTTAACCATAAGTGCCTCTTACTTAAAGCCAATGTAAAAAAATTATCTTTCACAATACTTGATTATGATAATACATATCCACAAGGACAGGCGAAGATCGCGCAGTTTCCAAATAATAATCTTTCAGCAAAATAATTATATTTTTTATTTTAACTCTCCGAATAAGAGTCTATATTTTTGCCAATCGAAATTTGTATATTGATTGAATATTTTACCATTGATCAATCGTGTATTTCAGGTTAGCTGAGTTGTCATAAAGACTTTCAACTTGAAAAATATTGCATATTATTTAATTGCAAACACATGTCACAAACACTAAATAAAGTGACGCATTTTAACAAAAATATTATTTTCTGGAATTATAATTTAATATTGATTATCTATTTAAGGGTAAAACCAACTGTTTGTTTGTTGTTACAAAAATATATAAATTCCTGAATTTTAGACTAATTTGTGTTAAATTATATTTCATTTTATATTTGTTAAATTCAAGCAATTTTTCTTAAGAAAAACTACCACTTACACCTGTTTTTGCTTATTTTTTTGCACAGCAATCAAATTAACGATGGCAAATTTTAAAAAGCAACCCGATATATATATATATATATATATATATTATATATATATATATATTTATATATACATATACATATTTTTATATTTTAACTCAGGTTTTCCTAGGATAGATTGTTGAATAAAAATTGAAACTACAAATACAATTTTCTTATTGATAAGGATATAAAAGAAATCACTGATAAATGTAAGTCTAAATCACTCTTTGCAAAGATAAATAAAATTTATCTTAAGTGTGTATCTGTATACATATCCGAATCAGGTGGGGTAAATTTTGACTTCTAAAACGGTTGCATCAAAAAATGGTTTTACCAAAAACGAATCGTAAATAGGAATCAAATGCTTTTTCAGGTTTGAATTAATAATTGTTTTTTGTACTGACTACATAACTTTTTATGTCACTGAACTATAGTGTTTTTCGATCTAAGCATTAAAGTAATGAATATGTACAATTTTTACCTTCCCTTAAAAAACTTAAAAAAGAAAATAAAAATTGTTGCATATCTTTACGTTTCAAAGGTTTCTGAACATTCTAATACGATAATTCGAATCGAATTGTTGGTAAATGCAATAATTTGTTTGATATTGATATTTTATACTCTATTCGAAATACAAGTTTTGTACTGAGAAGTTTGTAAATATTTCTATGTGCAAAATTTTGTAGTGAAAAGTTTGTGAATATTTTCTATTTCTACATGCAGTTAAAACTATCTTTATAAAATTTCCAAAAGGTTAAATATTGATTTTCGAACGTTTACATTTATTTTTTAATATAATTTTTACACAAGTAATCTTATCTGGGCGTGTCGCACTCTGACTACATTTTATATAGCATCTGCCCAAGCAACAGTGTATAAAAATATTTAGAACACATAAGAACAAAAAAAAATATTTTTGTAGAAAATAATTTAAAAAAACTTATTAGTTCAGTAGTTTAGTACACAAATATGGAATAAGTGAATCAAATATTGTGGCAAAACGTAAATACAAAATATAAGTTATAAACGTAAGTACAAATAATAATAATCATAGTAAACTTTGTTGTAAATACGTATCTGCAAACCTGTTTTAATGAGTGTTATATTTATTAGATAGTAAAACTAAATTTTAGAACTAAAATAAATTATTATAGATAACTGAAATACTTAAAATAAGTGCCCTCAAAACTAAAGTGTTCGGTAAGAAACATCTTGATGAATCATACATGAATCAGAATGATATTTATGATTGTATACAATATACATATTTTATTATTATTTTAATAATACTGTGGAAAGAGAACAATATGCATTTAAATAGTTTTTTTTTTCATTTATATATATATATATATATACATGATTTTCATATCCCAGTTTTCATTTAAATAGTTTGATTATTATATAGTAGTATATTTATTTACTTCGATTCTACCTTTCCGAATGAGATGTTTTCACCAGAAAATTCGATTTGCTAATTTTCAAATCTTTCTGAATCGTTTGAGGCCAAAAATTGGATAAAGTGTGTGTGAACCTGTGAACTGAGTTCTGAACGTTATTCTCAAAAAAGCCATAGCTGATTTTAAAAGTTCGAAAATCATTTGGTAAAATTATACAAGGAAATTGTAAACTCAAAAAAAAATTCTCGAAAAGTTTTATCTCCTAATATTAACTTAAAGATAGTTCGCACTCCAACCAAAGTTTCTTCCTACGTAAATACTTATTTTATAAAATATATCAAATTTTTGTTGTTTATGATCAAATGCAATGTTATTCTTAAAATTTTGATTCACTTATCGCCAAGTTAATAAATTCTAAAAATCAAATGGGATTTTACCCATGTTATTTCCATAAGAAACTTTGGTTGGAATGTGGACTCTCTTAAAGTTCATATTGAGAACTAAAACCTTCAGAATTTTTTTTATCAATTTGGAAGCATTTCATCCACTAGGTGCAAAAAAATCAAAAATATCCATATTAAGAACCGCCCTAACATATATATATATACACCTAAGTCTGTTTTTACACGGAGATTGGTTCCAGAAGAATCCGTGTAAAAAAAAAGTGTAAAAAAAGACATTGATCTTATACAAAAATGGGTGATTTGTTCCTAATCTCTAAAACCTACTAAAATTAGTGAAAATCATAAATTTTTAAGAACAAGAATTCATGTTTATTCTAGTTAGTGCTATTCACATTTGCTTTGACCAGTGAAAATTGTTTGTACGTGCTAAAGGGGAATTCACTTAAATCTAAGCTAGTGTTCGCAAACTATCGATACTATCGATGGTTTCAGACTTTTTTCTTTCATAAATACTTTTTTGTGATATGAACATACTTCGCAAAAATAAAATTTGACAAAAAAAATTTAAGCACATAAAATTTCAAATCGTGCTAAATGGAATAAAATCGTGTAAAAAAATTAAAAATATTCAATTTTCAAACCGTGTTATATCAAAACCGTGTACAAAAAACAGACTTAGGTGTATATATATATATATATATATATATATATAGATATATATATATATATATATATAGATATATATATATATATATATATATATAGATATAATATATATATATATATATATATATATATATATCTTAAAAAATATGGACACACTCTAATCTTGTTTGCACTATTTTATTAAATATTTACAAACGTTTCGAGTTTAATGGTTTGTTTTATCTTCAGGGTTGTATGTATTTTTCAATAAAAAAACTGACTTTTTGAAAAATTGTATCTGCACACACATATACACATAGATACACACATATATCAATTTTTTCTAAGATATGCCAAAATGTTCAGAAACCCCTGAAACGTAAAGATATATAAAAAATTTCATTTTCGATTTTTTGCGATTACTATAACTCGCCCTACGGGAAGTTAAAAAAAATAGTTTAAAAATTTCAAAACAAATTTAGGAGTGATAATAAAAAAAATCTAAGAAAAAATTAAGCTTTTTCTTAAGTTCAAGAAAATTAATTATTAATGCATTGGTTATGCATATACTCAAATTTTATATTTGATTTGAGTTTAGAGGAATGTGGCTAATGTACAAGTTTATAAGGCAAAATAACTTATTTATATATAAAAAAGAATAATGTGTGTTTCATATGTCCGCATTTTTTCGTCCACGTTTTTGGGCGCACGGATCAACCGATTTGAATGATTTAAAAAACATTCGATTCCTATTGATAGGGAGATGTGCTGATCAGTTTTTGGCAAAGGCAGATCCAGCCGTTACGGAGATACGGAGCAAAGAGTGCAGAAAATAAAAATCGAGTTTTTGAGAGAACGGAGTATCGGATTTGAATGATCTAAGAAATATTCACATTATATTATAGGAAGTCCTTTAAAATATATAGGTCTTCAAGTTATTTGTTTTAAGAACAATATCTACCGACCTTGAAATGTTGAAGCGGATGTATATAATCTTGAATCATTCTTAAATAAAGTTTATTAATTTAGTCATCCGCCGTATTTTATGTCTCCACATTTGTTTATTATTTCATATTTTTCAGATGTCTATGAAAATGAGTGATGAAATGAAGCAAACTTTTCTAAAAGTTCCGAGGAACCATACAGATTATACAAAGATCATAATAGATCGGCTTCGAAATCGAGACAGTGAAGTCGTAAATTACGATGACTACTATTTTGTCTCTGAAGATGACTACAACATGGAGGTAGAAACGTATCAGAGTGAACAGCCACATGATGCTTCCTGGTACGGGTTGGTCGTTGGAGTTCCTTTGGCCATCGTGTTTGCGATTGTGATTGGCATATTAGGTTAATAGACAAAAATGTTTTTTTTTATTCTTAGGCTTGATGCCACTTTTGCCCAAATTTTTTTTTTACGCCAAACTCAATGACAAACCGCATTTACCACGTTAGCGTAACTTAACATCACTTAAGACGCCAAAATTTTGTTTTTAATCAACAAAATACTGATACATTTTCAGCAAAAGCCTGAGGCTGGAATTTACTTTTTCAACGCACTATCTTGGTCATAGATGGTTGCTACCAAGAAAACTATTATTTTGGAGTGCACCTAGTAATGGGTAAACTCACTTGTTACATCTCGATAGATTAAGATATGGATATATATAGCAAAATACATTTTTTTCTAGTCCTTGACATCTAAAATAATATAGCATATTTATTCAAAGAGTCATCA